AACCACTCATCTGTCAAGGCTCAGCCCATCACCGCCCCCCAAGTGGTTTCGAAGACCTGGGCCCTCACCCTGCAATGACCACTCTTCCTCCATTGAACCAGCACCCTACATGTTTCTACCTTGGCCCCTGGGACACTGTAAAGCATTCTTTCCTCCCGTATCATATCCCCTTTTATGGGGCTGAATTGTGTTCCCCCACCAAATTCACATGTTAAAGACCCAACTCCAAGAGATAATTAAGGTTAAATGAGGTCATTAGGGTGGGCCCTAATACAATATGACAGGTGTCCTTGTAAGAAGAGGAGATCAGGACACATACAACACAGAGAAAAGACCATGTGAGGACACAGGGAGAAGGCAGCCATCTGCAAGCCAAGGAGGGAGACCTCCAAGGAACCAATGCTGCTGACGCCTTTGTCTCAGACTTTCAGCTTCCAGAACTGTGAGAAAATAAATTTCTGTTGTTTAAGCCACCCAGTCTTAGGTATTTGTTATACCAGCCCTAGCAAATTAATACCCCACCCCCACAAATGTAATAAACACCTTGGCATCTTAGGGATTGGGGATTGTTCATCCTAGGACTCTTCGCGCCCTAGGCAGTCCCTGGTAAATGAGTGTTGACTGAATTAATGGGTGGGTATCCAAATGTACAACATCCTGGTATTTCATCATAACGCCCTTATTATATGCCCCTCACCTGATACATGAGATATGTGAGAAAAACCGAGACCTCTCACCCCTGCCCAGAGCTGTGCTTGAGAAACAAAAGGCAAAAGGGATCAGGTGAAAACCCACAGGCATTTCTTTTGCTGAGAGCAGAAAAAAATTTTAAAAGAGCTGTTCCTGACACAACAGACTGGCCTGGCTGAGTATCCTCCTACTGGACATAGGCCATTGCACAGAACACCAACCGCTGATGTCACTCTGAAACTGTGATAGAATGAGACAAAGCAAGCCCACTTCATAATTTCCTCTAAGCACAAAAACAAGGTCACTGTGCTACCCACAAAAATACTCCCTTGAAAATACCTCTTTTGGCTAAAATGAGTGACTGCTACTTTGCCAGTTACAGCTTTATCTTGTTTTAGTCTCCCCTCCTTATAAAGATTTATTGAGATATCCAAAGAATTATCCCCACTTTCTGACAGCATCCAATTTCTAATCTAGAGCTAATCTCAGCTTCCTTAGACTCTCCCCCAAATCTTCCAACTTACAATAGTTCCTTTCTAACCCCCTCTTGCTATGATTACCTCATACTTCCTCCTGGTGAGCCTCTCACTGCAACCAGAAATAAACCCAACTTGTCTGAGCACAGGTGTGCTCCTGATGGCCACAGGCTAGAGCTCCCTGACAGTGCTTTTCACTGGCTTTTGCTTGATGGAGTGGGATATGCTAAATGCCAAAATTTTGATAAGGGATGTTGAGAGGAAGATATAGTGGAGGTACTGAAGATTAAGAAGAGGGATTTGGCGATGTCTAAAGGTAGAGAGAAGTTGGGAGAGCGCACTGAAATAGGCTGCATCTGTGAGGGCAATGCAAGCCTTTCCTTCGTCTCCCTCTCACCACCCCCGCCCACCCCCCCAGCCAAAAAAAACCCTTCAGTAAAAAGTCTGTATTATTCATCAAGCTCTTAAAGTTGGTTTTGAGTTTGGGGCAGAGAGAGGCTGGATCTTACCATAACTGGCCAAAGAAACTATAAGCAGAATCCTTAAGAGATGTAAGTGGCCCCCAAAGGCTTTATCTATTGGGTTACTGAGACTTCCTCTTTATCAATCAGTGTGCAAATGTCCACAGGACAGCTTATTAATGCTAGGAATAATTTAGTCCCCACAGTGTCCTATACCATATCCTGGCCATGGTTGGTGCTCAAGACTGACTGAGGGACTGCATGAGAGTGAGATCCCTCTATGACCATTCCAGGAGCCCCTTCAGCCTTCCAAAGTAAGTTGGCCAGGGGACCCGCCTCTACTCAGCCTATGACTGATGGAATTAGCACTGGGCTTCTGACTCCAGGGCAGTCAATCTATAGACTGGCCAATAGCCCATGAAGTGTCTGTCCTGTGGGCTCTGTAGATCAGAGATGACAGTAGCTAATGTATCTATTCTGGTCCTTTCTTGGGCAGTCTGGATGTAAAATGGATGAAAGACAGCATAAGTGGATTTGTCCTATGATTGCTATAATGAAGTACCACAGATTAAGTGGCTGAAATAACAAAAATTTATTGTCTCTCAGTTATAGAGCCTAGAAATCCAAGATCAAAGTATTGGTAGGGTTGGTTCCTTCTTAGGCCTGTGAGAGAAGAATCTGTTCCAGGTCTCTCTCTTTGGCTTGCAGATGGCCATCTTCTTGTTTATGTGTGCTTCTCTGTGCCCAAATCTCCCCTTTTTATAAGGACACAAGTCATATTGCATTAGAACCCACCCTAATGACCTCATTTAAACTTGATTTCTTCTGTAAAGATCGTATCTCCAAATTAGGCCACACTCTGGGCTACTGGGGGTTAGGACTTCAACATAAGGATTTAGGGGAACACAATTCAGCCCACAACAGTGAGCAGTCAACAAATACCCAAGTCAGACACTGAAAGGCATTTCTTAGACAGTCCCTTCCAAACTATAATTGCCCATGAGTCTTCTGTGGATCTTATGTCATGCAGATGCTAATTTAGTTGGTCTTGGGTGGGCCCTAGGATTCTGTATTTTTAGAAAAATGGCCAGATGCTGCTGGTCCAGGAACCACACTTTAAGTTCCAAGGGAATAGTACCTCTCCCAGGTTCTGCTCTTCTCTTGAAGAGGACTCACTGATCTGAAGGACTGAACTATTCTCAGTGGTTCCTGAGTTCAATGAACCAAGGTGGAAGTTCTCAACCTTTACAGCACATTAGAATCACCCAGGGAACTTGAAAAAAGTCCTCATGGTCCCATCTTCCAGAGATCCAAATTAGCTGGTCTGGGATGGGCCTCTGTAATTTTAAAAAGCTCCCAGGTATTTCTACCACTGCTTTCAGGTATGCTTCCCACGGGTCAAATGTTTACATTTTAACAGATATACTTGTTTAAAATGTGACCTAACAGTGAGAATTTAAACACCAATTTCAATGATGGGAAAATGTTTGTGGACAGACAAGTCTTTTGTTCTTCAAATAACAACAGAATGAGGTCATTTTAGTGCTTTATAAGATCATCCTTGCCAGAAAATATAGGGGGTTGAGACATGGGCTATAGTGTCAGTTCTCTTATTTGGAACAGAAATGTACTTATTCTCCAAGAATGCATTGCGTTGTTCTCAGGGTGAGAACTAGCTCCCACCCTATACAACACCTGTAATCTGCACAGAGTAGGATGTAGTCTTTCCATTGTTGGTGGTGCTTTAGTGGAACAAGGATATTTGGATGGAAATGGGCCTTCAGCCACCAGTCCTTTAGTATCATGACCCAGTAGGACAGGTGCTTGAAAATATGTCTATGAGATATTTAGCTTATGTAGGCCTCTAGTGCTGGCAATGAAGGCAAGAAGCTGAGGACTGGTAAAAATAGGAGAATGGCATTTTGATGATGCTATAAGCAAGAGCATTTTTTTAAATCATATAGAATTTGAAAATCAAAACAAAAATAAAATGTGCTCCTATTAAAGAGTTTTACTTTCTCTTTGTCCAAGTGGATGACATGTGAGCACTGAGTCCTAAATACCGTACGATTTAGAATGTGTATCACACATTTGTGTGATAACGGCCTGCTGACGACTGTTTCCCTGCCTGACCATAAGTCCCTTCTTATAAAGCATATGTTGTCTTCATCAAAGACTCTCCAGGAACTAGCATGATGCCTGGCACATAGTGACATCACAGGTGTGATAGACTAGCTACAAGCAGGGTGTCTATAGGATTTGCTCACTGCTCTACCCCCAGTGCCTGACACAGAGAGAAGCTCAGCAATTTGGTGAATAAATGTCAGGTCATTGAATACTTGAAAGTCAAGTTCTTACTACCCAAAGGTGTGCCCCATGATTCTTCAGATTATTTCATTTGTCCAGATTGATGTAGCCTTAGCAGGAGGGAAGATGGGATGAGTGAGGTGAGGCGGGGAGGTGAAGCATCTTCGACTTTGACCTTCACTCTTGCCTTGAAATAGACTGGGCCCAGTCACCTACTTCCCAACCCACCACTGAGCTCTGACAGTCAGGAATCCAAGTTGTCTTTCTATAGAGCAGTGTTTCTTCAGAAGATGACTAAAGTGTCCTGGTCGACAACTCTGCCACACATTCTTCCCACACAGTCCTGCCCTGATGCTCCCACCCTTGCCCTCAAGTGACCCAGAAAGCTGCTTTTACCCAAATGAGGAGACCCAGCACATTTTTCCACTGGCAAGCACCCTCAGGCCAGGATTGCATATCTTAAATAGATTTAAAATAGCACAGCTGATATTTTGGAAGCTGATTAGTAACCTGATGTTTGCTCAGCTCAGCTGCCTAAGTTGAAGTCTATTCATATTAATCAACTAGTAATTATTAAATACCTACTGGGAGTTTTGGACTCTGCTAGGCCAAAAGAAACACAAAATGATCCATACCAGGAAGCAGTTTCCTCCTTACCCAGGGAGGCACAGCTGAGGGCAGCAGCTAGGTGCTTCATTTATGACATGGATGTTGAAGGTAACATCAGTGAGGGATAAGAAGATGACTGGGGACAGGAACAGGTGGAGATGGTGGGGTTGGAACCTGAGCAGATGGGGCACAGCCATGGGGAAGCATGGCTGTGAGGGTGATTGTAGAAGGAATGCTGCAGAGGTGGGGAAGGGCATGATGTCTCAGCACCAGAAGGATGCTGTCCTGTCTGGCCTGAGGGCATGTCCTAGGACTACTGGTCAACAGTTAACTAACTGGAATGGGGCCAGCTGCCAGGGGATGTGGAAAGCCTTGATGCCTGAAGCATTAGGCAGGTAATTCAGAGAGACCAACTTGCTCAGCAGGCCAGACAGGAAACAGACCAGACAGGAAACAGACCGGAGGCTGCAAGGACACCAAACAGGGAGGCACATGGCAGGCACAAGGTGCTGTGGGCCTGGGCTGGGGTAGCAGGATGAGAATGAGAAAGAAAGAACAACTCTAAGGTAAGAACAACAGGACACAGTAACAGATTGGATGGGAAGAGTGATGAAATAAGAGAGTTTCAGGCCCTGGGAAGGAAGAGAGGTAAAAAAAAATTAGGATAAACTTTAGTGGCATAAGAATTAGCTAGAGATCTTTTCTCTTTCTTTCTTTCTTTCTTTAAAGCTTTTATTAGTATTTTTTAATTGCGGTAAAATATACATAACATAAAAACTACTTAAAATTTTAAACAATTTTTAAGTATACAGTTTAGTGGCAGTAAATACATTCACATTGTTGTGCAACCATCACCACCATCTATCCACAGAACTCTTTTTTCATCCTCCCAAACTGGAACTCTGTGCCAATTAAACACTAACACTCCATTCCCCCAACTCCATAATCCCTGGCACCTACTATTCTACTTTCCATCTTTGTGAATTTGACTGCTCTAAGAACTTCATATAAGTGGAATCATATAGTATTTTCCCTTTTGTATCCAGCTTAGTTCACCAAAGCGGTTCACTGAGCATAACCTCAGGATTCATCCATGTTGTAGCATGTGTTAGAATTTAATTCTTTGTTAAAACTGAATAATATTCTTTTGTATGTATAGACCACATTTTGTTTATCCATTCATCTGCAGTTGGACACTCGACTTGCTTCCACCCTTTGGCTATTGTGAATAATGTTGCTATGAACATGGGGGTACGAATATGTGTTCAAGTTCCTGCTTTCAATTTAACTCTCTCCTCTTGTATTTTATCGTAAGTGAACCAAGTCACTTCTTAAACATTTTGTTTATAAATCTCCTCAGCTAAATACCGAATTTTATTGCTTTCAAGTTTTACCTTCCACAAAACACTAGAACACAGTTCAACGAAGTTCTTTGCCACTTTATAATAAGGATCGCCTTTCTTCCAGTTTCCAATAACATATTCTTCATTCCTATCTCAGACTTCATCAAAATGGCCTTTAACATCCATATTTCTATCGACATTCTGTTCATGAAGATATATGTATTTTCTGAGACTTTCTCTCCAGCTTTTCTCTCTTCTTTTTGAGTCCTCACCAGAATCGCCGTTAACATCCATGTATTTACCAGCACTCACTTTAAGTCAGTCTAGGCTTTTTCTAGCATGGACCTTAAAACTCTTCCACCCTCTATCCATTACCCAGTTCCAAAGCCACTTACACATTTTTACATATTTGGTACAGTAGCACCTCACTTCTCAGTACCAAAATTTATATTAATCGGTTCAAGCTGCCATAACAAAATACCACAGACTATGTGGCTTAAACAATAGAAATTTATTCCCTTACAGTTCTAGAGGGTAGGAGTCCAAGATAAAGATACTGGCAAATTCAGTTCATGGTAAGAGCTCTCTTTCCTGGCAGACAGTCATCCCCTTGAACATTTGTGCACGTATGGGCACCAGTTCTAGCTGACTAGGGTTCTACCTTTATGACTTCATTTAACCTTAATTATCTCCCAAAAGGCCCTATCTCCATATGTAATCACATTGTGGGTAAGGGATTCAACATATAAAATTCACTCCATGATTCAGTCCACAATAGCATCTATCCCATGGCCTCTGCTTAGGTGGCTGTGATATCATGGAATGAACACTAGACCTCAGGTCATGGGGGGAGGGGCATAACCTTTCCTTGGATTTGTACAAAGGGTTAAATTCAATCATGAAGGGGGAGGCATTTTACTGCCCTGCACACCTAAGGATTTCTTAGACACAGCCTTCCAGATCCCCTAAGTGGTCTAACGGTCAAACAGACAAAGCCCAGCTCTATCATCGCCTTTGGAGCACACATTCTTCATAATGATTTCTTGCTTGCTAGGAAGTGCAGGAGCAATAGTATCCTGTTTGTTGGTCATTATTTCAGAATGGAGACCAAGGGTAGCAAATATTGTGTTGCAAAGGATTCTCAGCTGTGTTCTGTCTCAGCATGGCCTGATTGGTTGGTAGGGTCTGCCTCATGCATAGGGGGAGGGGCAGACTTAGCTCAAACTATGCAGGGCTCTGGGAGTCAGCCACTGGTCTATTGCTTTTCAGTTTTCTAGGCTCTCAGTAATCCCGCTACCACTCTCCAGTATGAGGATGTGTTATTCAAGGATATAGAATCATAATGTCAGAAGGTGGGAAGCACTGCTTAATGATTAAGCCAAAAATTACCATCCTGTCAAATCCTCAGTATTCACAGAAGTAAGAATAATACCTTACAAGCAAACATTCCATGAGTGGATTCCTACACACACCCACGAAGCAGGCTAAGGAAGCACTGCTAGACCTCATGCCTCGAGCCTCATGCCGCGAATTACAAAGCAAATGAACAGACCACCCGCATCATCTCCAGACAAGACAAATATTTAAGATAATTAACAAACCTATAAATAGTTACAAGCAGATTTACCTATGTTTACATGCCTCTTACTTCTGTATGCTCTGATAGCATTTTTTCATTGTCATTTAGCACTTCCCATGAGGTATTATAATTACATGATTCTTCTTTGTCTCTCTCACTAGACAATAAACTCCTTGAGGGTCAGGAGCACCTCTTATTAATCTCTGTTTTGCCCAAGCTTGGCACGCAACCTCCTGCATTGTTAAAGTTGTGTGTGGGATGACTCACAGATGAACCAGGAGGGATGTTGTCAAGCTCCCAGAACCAGAGATGCCAGTGATGTCTTCCTTTTCTTGTTCCATTCTCCCATATCTCATCACCTAAGGGTACCAAAACAGGCATCACTTGATTTATTTTTGTCTTTGTGTCTGCAAACGAATGTATTAGCTGGCTTTTTTTTTAAAAGATAGCTATTCAAAAGACTAGAATTAGATATTATGTTGGATGCTTACAGAGCTAATCATGGGATTAGAAAAATGCCCTTACTCGGAATAGGATGTTTCCTATTTTTTAATGTAGAACATGAAGTAAGCGTAATTCACTGTCATTTCTAATGTCCTGTACATTTCAGAGACCCATTTAAGATAAATGATTTTCAAATGTCTGAGCAGTCTGTTTTGAAAGCCTCTATGGAATTAATGTGCTAAAATATATTCAAATCATTTTAAGTCCAGGCTCTGCTTTGATATTTGTTTTTCATTGCCATCACTGAAAGAAGTACAAGTTCACATAAATAGGACATTGCCAATGGGATATGTTGTACCCTGGCCATTCATTTAAGTGTTCGTTTTCTTGTTCAATTCAATGAGCAGAGAGTTTCCAAGACAAGCCACTGGAAATGTTTACTGTGACCCATATGTAGTGAGGAGGGACAGAGATAGAGGAGTTTAAAAGTGTGTGTGTGTGTGTGTGTGTGTGTGCGCGCGCGCACGCGTGTGTATGTTTATGTGTGTGTGTGCGCTGAGCTTCAGATAACGTGGAGATACACGAAGGAGAGATTTTGAAATAGGTCATATATAACACAGAAATGTTTTTTTTTTAAATAAATACACATGGTTAAAATTCAAGAGAAGTGAAAAAAATAATTTAAAAATATGTAGGTTAAAAATCGTTCTCGATAAGAACAGGAAATCAGGGATTTGAAGCACCCGGAAGGTTTGATTCACTATTGCTTGCTTGAAAATTGGAGGATGGGGGGTTATGTGGCAAGAAATGCAGGTGGCCTCTTAAGAGCATCCTTAATTTTCAGCAGTAAGGAAAGAAAAACAGTCCTACAACCGCAAGAAAACCAACAAAAAGAATGAGCTTGCAAGCATACTTTCCCCCAAAGCCCTCAGATAAAAACCCAGCCCAGCTGACACCTTCCTTCCAGTCTTTGATGCCCTGAGCAGCCAACTAAGCAGTGTAGGACTTCAGGCCCACAGACCTAATAATCATGGGTTCTGAAGCGAAGACCACGTCTTACTCATTTTTATATCTTTACTATTTAGTAAAATGTCTCGCACACACACATGCTACTCTAATAAACGTTTTTGAATAAATGCAAAAAAAAAAGGTCATTCCTCTACCTCTTACTTAGTGGTTTCTGGTATGTCTCTCCAGCATTCCTTATATTTGTATGGATATTTTTTATTTTCTTCATTAAAGGAAGATTATAAAAGAGGAATGTTAATTGCAAATTACATTTATTATGTAATTACAGAATGCTCTAAGTGCTCATTTAATCCTCAAATCAAATCTAAGAGGTAAGTATTATTATAATACTCATTTTACAGATGTGGAAACTGAGAGAAGTACAAACTGAGTTAAGTAACTTGAACCAAGCAGAGCTGAAGCTCCTAACCTCCACTCCCTTGCCTCTCAGGCAGAGAGAAAAATTTGCAGAGAATGTTTCGGTTACCTCCAACGGATAAACTATTCAAAAGCAAATTAACCACTGCTCCCCAGGTCCCAGAAGATAGACCAAGGAGGTCCCTGGAGCCTGAAGGGCAGAGTGGCAGAGTGTTCCCATCATGAGCCACAGTGGAGTCATCAGCACCACAGTTGTCTCAGTATCTGTGAAAAAATCTATGCTGCTTCTAGGCATGTCCAGGGTGTGGTAGAAATGCAGATCAGCCTGGGTGGTCTACTCCAGAAATCCAAGCCCGCTGGAGTGTCAGGTCCTGGCTAGCAGTGATTCTGTGTGCCCAACACTTAGTGCAATCTCTCCCATATGAGATGCTGAATGAATAGATGCCCATAATAAGAGAGAGAACTATTCACTAATCCATTAAAAAAAAATGATTGACAGCCATCATGGCCCAGTTGTTGGGCTATAATGATGAAGATACAGGGGTGAACAGGACATCTTTCTGCTTCAAGGAGTCTAAAATCTAGAGAAGAACACAAGCAGACACACAGGATGCTACAATGTAGGGTTATGAATGGTGCGATGATGGTACATGCACGTGGGGTGCTGAGGATAGCCACTGTGTTTGCCAAGAAGTTTGCCAAGTGGGTATATAGGTAGAAAATAAACTTCACCCAGATGATTCATCTAAACAGAAAGTGTGAGTAGGGTTACAGAAAACAGGTTTGGGTATAATAAAAAAATTTTATTTGGCATTTATCTTCAGTTCCTGGTACAGAGCTCCTAAAACCCTGGGCATCTACTGAGTATAGAAGTGTCTTTTGTTATTCATAATGAGCCCTTTTTGACCATACCTGAGTTTATGCTAAGGAGGTGACTTTTGGTGGGCCCTTAGACAACTTAAGGGTGGGGCTAATAGACAAAGGAACCACCATGTAATTAGAGGGCTGGAATTTGGGCCCCAATCTCTGACCTCCTGAGAGAGGAGAGGACTTAGAGATTGAGTTCAGTTGCCAATGACCAATGATTTAATCAACTGTGTCTAAGTAATAAAACCTCCATAAAAATTCTGAACCATAAGGTTCAGGGGAGCTTCCTCGTTGGTGAACATATTGATGTTCTAGAAGGGTGGTGCATCCCGACTCCACGGGGATAGATTGCCTGCACTCAAGACCTCTACAGACCTTGCCCTATGAATCTCTTTCATTTGGCTATTTCTGAGTTGCATCCTTTGTAATAAAACTTTAATTGTAAGTATTGTGCTTTCCCGAGTTCTGTGAGTCATCTCAGAATTATTAATAAACCTAAAGGGGCATAGTGGGAATCCCTAAATTCCCACTATATTGAAAAGAAGTGGGTCACCTGGGAATCTGGAATTTGTGGCTGGCATCCAAAGTTGAGGCAGTCTGTGAAAGTGGGCCCCTTAACCTGTGAGGGTCTACACTAACTCTGGGTAGTTAGGATCAGGATTGAATTGAATCGTGGGACATCCAGTTGGTGTCAGAAAATTGTAGAACTGTTGTTGAAAGGATACAGGGGTGTCAAGGCACCCAGAGCTGGGCAATGGAACGAAGTTGTGTACATCCCTAGAGCTGGAAGAATAAGGGGAAAGAATGGTGGAAGCCAGGGACAGCAGGAGGCACATGGAGGGACCCCTTCAGCAAGAGCCATCATTGTATGTGGAGATGCAGCTGTGCTCAAACTACTGCATGTTGGGGAGCGGGGCATAGATCAGAAGAAATTACCTGAATTAGATGCTGTGAAGAACGATAGTAGCCATTGACTTTAGAAATATAAAGGCTGCCAGGTAGCACCAACGGCTCAGCTGACCATGGACTTTTAGTAATGCCACTTGCATTATGAAATGCTTTTCTCTAGCAAGGTTTGTAGCCTAAGTTTAGGAGCTAAAAAGAGAGAGTAAGACTGACCTAGGAATAGCATTTCCTATAGGGGGAGGGCATGGCACATTAAAACAACAGTGGAGCTTAGGATATTAGACAGATAGGGTGAAAATGGTGAGCCACAGAGTCTAGGTTAGAGAAGGGAGAAATGAAGCCAGCAGGAAATAGGTGGTAGTAAAGAAAAGGAGACCCATAGAGGAGTTAAACTACTAAAAATCTCAGTATAAGTGAAAACAGGTATAGTAGGAGTACTTAAGTGAGGGATCTGGAAGCAGCAAAGATATATTCGAGATGGAATGATTGATCTCAGAGCTGGTGCTATTTGGGGCAACAAGAAGTCAGCTCATTCCTATGAACTGAATTATGTCCCCCAAATTCATATGTTGAAGCCCTAACCCCCGATATGACCGTATCTGGAGATAGCATTGTTAGGAGGTAATTAAGTTTAAATGAGGTCACAAAGGGACAGTACCTAATTGGATAGGACCATGGAAGAGCTATATATATATATAGTGCTCTCTCTCTCTCTTTCTCTCTCTCTCTCTCTCTCTCTATATATATATATATATACACAGACATACACATGTATATGTATATGTGTGTATGTGTGTATGTGTATATGTATATATATGTATATATATATATATATACATATATATTTAGAGAGAGAGAGAGTTAGTTCTGTCAGCTTGAACTAACGCAGCTGTGACTATGGAGAGAGAGTTCATGTGGAGTAGAGGAAAAGGTCACTGGAATTGAGGAAGTCGAGGGACTGAGAAGTTAGAATTCCAGAGCTGGGACAGTCATATAAACATCAAAGTCACCAGAATTGTGGTAGGACTTACAGTGGTGAAAACAATGAGCAGTTGATTAAGTCTTTAAAGCACAAATGAGGGGAACCGACTAGGAGGTGTTAGATGACAACATATCAGATGGATAAGATGGGAACTAGCCAGATAATATGTCTCAAAGCAGTAAAAGTGACAAGAAAGGGATAACTCCTAGTCCTGACCCCAAGGATTGGGGAGAATGAAGAGCAGCTATTGGTGAGGGCTACTGGGAAAGGGATAGCCCCATATCCTTTGGGAGAGGCTGATTTCTGTTACAGCAGGAAATGCAAGGAATGTGCAGTAGCATTGCAAGTATAGAGATGTCTATATTTGATGAGTTGAGAATAACAATAGAAGAAGGGCTGGAAGGCTGGGTCAAAGGCAGAAGCTTCCAGCTCTCCTGAGGGAAAAATATTTTCGTATCAATCAACAATTTTGTGATGTGGTTGAACCAACAGAAGAACATAATGTTACAAATACATACGTTGTAAAACAGAAACTATAACCAATTTATGAATAAAACTTATATGCACCATGTTTAATAATACAACATATTCATGCACCACATTTTAATCTTATTAACCCTAAGAATAAGAAGATGAGTGATATCAGATGATAGAGAGGGCTTCCGTGTTGGGTGATAAAAAAAGATAAGAGGCATGTGAGGTGTGATGGCTTTTGCAGGCAGTAGGAGCTACCAAAATGTTGGTACCTATAGATGGGAGCATTTGAGCCCCACTGGTCCAGGAGAGCAGGCCAGTGATAGGATTAGCTGATCCCATTGAGGACAGCAATGGCCTCTGATGAAGGGAAAGAAAAGCAGACTCCAGGACCCCAAGAATGGGGTACAAGAGAAAACAAGGTAAACCACCTACCTCGAAGGACAGGTGCCCTAAGAGAAATTACACTATATTTACTCTGCCATCCAAATATTTAGTTTGCTAAACATAGGCCTCAGGGGCAAAATGTCCTTCTAAAGTTTCTTCATGAAAAAAGATTCTGAAAGAAAAGGCAATTACTAATACAAGTGACAGCAAGTACTAAGAAAGAGAAGAAGAGTGACGGTATTTCTGAATAGGGATTCACAAAGGGCTCTAGTTATATCCTCGGGGGATGATTAGAGTCTGCTCTGCAACATGCAGAACAGATGAAAAGTGCCCAAATAAAGAGTGCACAAAAGAAACTTGACAAAGACTAATGGATCACTACAAATCATTGTATTAGATCCAAGTGAAGGGACCCAGCAACCAGGAGTTGTGCATGCTCTGGGGAGTGAGTTCACTCACTGCCATTCTGAACTGCTGAGAAGATTCTGAGAGAGCTAGGGAGCTCTCCCACCTTCCAGGGAGTACCAGTCAAAGACCCCAGAAGTAGGCAACGCACTTAAGAACCAAACAAAGATTAAGAAACAAAGTGGACAGGACCAAAATTTGCCTTTATTTCTATTGAGAAGAATTTGCCAGTCTTTTAGAGAAACAGAGATCAAACAAGACCACATTTAAGCAATACTGTTATAAAAGACATTATTGTACTAACAGTTAAGAAAACTACAGTCAGATTCATCCACAATATTCTTCTCAACTATTCTTCTCAATTACTGTTTGCAAAATTCTTCTCAACTATTGTTTACGAAATCTTGAGTTAAAGAGCACATCTTTATGATTTCTTAAACATATAAGAAGGCACAAACAATAGATTGGCAAATTGATTACATTAAAATTTAATACTTCCATGTAACAAAAGGCACCATAAGCAAAGTTAATAGCAATATGAAGAACAAAACAAGCCACAGATTGGGAGAAGATATTTGCAATGCATACAAGTGATAGAGGATTAGTATCTAGTATTCTAATACATGAAAATCCCTCCAAATCACTGTTTATATGAATGGACAATTGGAAACAAACTAGATCTCTATCGAAAGAAAAATGGATGAATGAATTGTAATGAATTCATAGGAATAACACTAAAATAGCAGTTCAGAATAAATGTATTATCTGTCCAAGTATCAACTAGTACAAATTTTGAAAACAGAATTGGGAAAAGATGTAGGTTGAAGAAATATATATGAAATGTTATCTATATAAAATATAAAGCACTAAATATTGAGCATTGACACGTAAACATTTGAAAATATAAAAACATGATGGAATAAACAGCAGGTTAGAAGAAGGGTCCTCCTGAGGAGAGAATGGGCAGCGGGGAGGGATGAAGGAGGAACATGAAGAAGTTTCCACCACCTCTTCAAAAAACATGAAGCAGATATGTCGACACTTGTAAAATCTGGATGGTATATGCTTATATCATTCTCTGTTCTTTTTTGTAGGTTTGAAATATTTCATAGAGAGGGGCTCTCTATGCACTCCGAATCCCTGTCTGAGCTTGGGCCACTCTGATCTACTTGTTGGTCCCTAAATGGTCTGCTAAACCTCTCTTCTTCAAAGTGGGGTCGGCAGCTTCTCAGAAATGCAGATTCTCAGGTCTCATCCAGATCCGCAGATTCAGAACCCACAATTTAACATGCTCCAGGTAATTCCTATGTACATTAAAGTCTTAGCAGGCTCGTGGAATTGCTCCTGCTGTCTCTATCCCTCTGTTCACTGCCCCCATGACCGAGCTCACTGTCAGGATGTACTTCAAGGACTGCCTGTTCCAAGATTTCTCTGAAACCCTGTCTGGCTCAAGAGTCATCTATGTATACTGTATACCTACTTTTCTCAAAACAGGCATCATTATCATCATCTGCTAACTGGATCATGAATTCCTTATCAGTCCCTAGAGCTTTTGGGCAGTTGTCCTATCACAGTTTATGGCACGTGGCATAAGGTCAATGAATGTTTTATGAATGAACAAGAATCTACACTTTTAGATACCAGAAAGGGCCGTCACCCATACTAAACTGTTCATTCAGGGAGTGGGACTGTCTGATTCTGGAGCACTTAAGTACATGGAATTGATTACTTATTACCTTTTTAAGCTCTAAATCTAAAATAAATTAAATTTACTTTAAAATTATCTACATTTTAAAAAATGTGCATGTTTAAAATTTTATAACAAAGTGCTATTTTTTTTATGGCACATCTTTGTAAATTGATGTAAAAGATATCTCCACTTTGAGAACTCTTAATCTTTTGAGAAGTCTTGGCCTCATTTCAAAGCTTGATGAAAGATGTGGACCTTCTCCCTAGATAAATGCACATAATTATATAATTGCAGTATCCACAAACCCCAAGAAAGGAGCTTCTGCCCTAAAGTGGACAAGTCGTGTCTGATTCTCTTACCTTGCATTGTAAGTTTTCCACTGTCTCAGGAACAAAAACGTGTTTGTGGGAACCTTTGACACCAATCTCATTTCTTTTGCTGATAAAACAATTCCAGCAACCCACCATCACTGGCTGGTAAAGTGTCATTTTGAAGTGTTTTAAGTTTGAATTAATCCCACAGTTTCTACCTCTAGGTGTAGAAGACAGGAAGTCACCATAAGAATATTTACTGGTCAGAGGCAAATCATGGAGTAGGGGTGTGGGCCTGAGTGAACAGCGAGACCTGTCCTCAGTTACCTGGACCAAATAGTATTTTATCAAGTGGCTTTATTTTTTTAAGAGAGATAAAAAAGAGTTTAAGTAGCAGTGGAAATATTTTATTCAATTTACAAGCACCATCTAACTACCGCATGGCTTAAGTATAACAAACCAGTAACACGAGAAGGAATCAAGAGATGGGAGGGGCACTTGCATAAGACTCTGGTGATGTAAGACACCCAGATCATGAGGTTACAAGCCCCCAGATTGGTGCTCATTTGCCTCAAAGAAAAGTCCAACAGCCATCCCTCTCATAAAGTGACCCCCAGTCCCTTCGAAGAAATACCACCTTCTAGCACTAGTCATCTCCCTGATATTCAGTCATTGGACCTGTGAGTACTTCAGAAGAAGAATATAACAATGAGTATTTGCGCCATTTTTTAACTTCGCAAAACTCACTTCTATTGGTCTAGCATGTTAATTACGTTGTCAGAAAGAAAGAGAAACGTCTTCCTCCACTCAGCCCACAGACCCCTGACAAGTCCACAGAGCTGTGACAAGCACCCACAGAAACCACAAACCTGTGCAGCTCTTACTTAGTGCTGAGTCATGGGGAGCCTGGGCTGTCTATTGCCTTGTTTGTGTGGAGCTCTTAGATGTTTGTGAAATGATTGCCTGGAAACATAAGTCAGCTCTTCCTAGACACTGAGTACTGAGGCCTGAGGTTGATGAAAACAGTCTTAGAAATGTTGACAAAGGCTTAGAAATTTCAAGCAGGGTAGAGTTCAAAAGAGGCTAGCCTTTCCAGAAGAATTGCCTCTACTTTAGGGATTCAAATACTAATTAAGTTCTGGAGATAAATTGAAACTTTAGATGGGTAACATTTTTATTCTGGGTTTTAAGTTACTTTAAATACTGCACTGATTTTTTTTTTTAAATAAGCCAAATTCATCAAAATAATAGAAATGAAAGATAATGAAATTTGCTTTCACCTGTGGCTAGTTAACTAAATTAATTGGCACTAACAGGAGAGTCAATGTGGTCCTTAGTGGGATAGCTGGTTTTTCTTTGTTTTATTCGTTCCTTCATTCACCATTGATTGAGCCCCTACTAGGTACAAAATATAAAGGATACTCAATTGGGTCTTCAGGGAGCTTGAAGTTTCAGGAAGGGACACACAAAGAACCTATTTTAATTCACTATTTCTTTACAGAGATATGAAGCTGGAGAATGATCAAGGAAAATGCCCTATTGATTGTGTATCTATAGTTCTATTATTGATCATAAGGTATTCTACACACATTCTTTTTCTAGGGAGGCGGTGTCAAGGATTTATTAACTGGGAATCAGAATTTATTAACTGAGCTCTAGTCCCAAGTTGGCCTCTGATGAACTCTTTGATTTAGGTCAAAGGATTCAATTTCTTTAGGCTTCAGTTTCCTCTCCCAGAAAACCGAGGCATAAAGTAGATGACTAGACATTCTGTTTCACTACATTATTTGTTTTCATTCAAAAAATGGTGTTTATACAGAAAAAAAAAATGGCGTCGATGTTAGATGTTCTGTTCATCCCTCTGGGGACAAAATCAAAGTTGTGACAGAAACGAGGAGCAGCAGCAAGGAAAAATTGCCTAGGATCTAGATGAACAAGCCATACAACTACGGAGAAATTCAACAAAGCACCCTACAATGGCTGAAGGTAGGACAGGGCGAGAATGCGGGGCCACCTGTCCAGAGCGGCTGAGCCAGACGGAGGCTGTGGCAGAAGCCTCTTAAAGGGACCACATGAGTGAGTAGAATTTTGTGGTGATAGACCAGCTCGCACCAGTGCCTGTTCAGGGGGTACAGGGGGCACCAGGGACTTACAGGGAGACAGTCGGAATGAGGGCCGAAGTGAGACTTGCCCGATATGGAGGTGCCGGTGGTATCCACTGTTCTCTGTTGAATCCTCCCTTCTACTAGTGCGCGGGACACAGCACCACCATAGCTGTGACATCATTAAACTGGATAACACAGGTCGTTCCGCCCAGAGGATTCCCTGACACCCCACCTACCCCAACTCGGGCCCCACCCAAGCCACATCCAAGTGTATCCTCAGTGAGTCAAGTGCTCCTTGCCGAGACTCACACTGGTGGAGGCAGCTGGCCTCAGTTTCTGGTGTGGTCTTTTGAGGCAACTATAAGCACAGCATCTGTGGATTGCTTGCTGAATCTTAACAGGTGGCCCCAGAGGGCTAGAGGCTTGGGCTAAGTTTGGCCTGCAGCTGAACCCCTCTCAGGACTGTGCCACTGGACACCTACTACACAAATCCACACTGATAAGACCAGGAGACTTATGAGCTTTGCTTAGCACATAGAAACTGACACGGAAAGGCAGCCACAATGGGAACACAAAGAAGCAGAAACCATATGACAGAACAGAATAGAGATCCAGGTATAATGGTGTCAAATAATCTAACAGATGCAGAGTTCAAAACACTAGTTATAAAGATGCTCAATGAGTTTTGGGGAAGTGTAGAGAACTCCAACAAAGAGATAAAAATGGAAATGGAAATGGAAATTATAAAAGAGAACCAGTCTGAAATGGAGAACACATTATCTGAAATGAGAAGTATATTAAATGGAATAAACAAAGGAATAAACAAAGTGAACAAAGAAGAGAATCAAATGCCCTCTTCAGGAAGGCCAATCAGGACACTCAATCAGAATGGCAAGAAAAAAGATGCCAAGACTATAAAAATAAGGAGGATGTGGGACACTATTAAGGCTCTAAATATTTGATCGGCATAACAGAAGAAAATCAAGATGTTGAACAACTGTTTGAAGAAATAATGATGGAAAACTTCCTGAACCTGGTGAAGGAAATGGACATAAAACCTCAGGAACCTCAGAGAATTCCAAAAATCAGAGATCCAAAGAAGCCCACACCAAGACACATCATAAATAAAATGACAAAGTTTAAATACAAAGAAAGAATATTAAAAGCAGCAAGAGAAAAACAAATAATTACTTATAAGAGAACACCCATAAGAATGGCAGCTGATTTCTCAAAAGAAACTATGCAGGACAGAAGAGCTTGGCAAAAAATATTTGACAGGATGACAGGATCTATAACCAAGAATAATTTATCCAGCAAAGCTATCTTTTAGAGTTGAAGGACGGATAAAGAGCTTCCCAGACAAAAATAAGCTAAAGGAATTTATCACCACCAAGCCAGTATTATAGGAAATGTTGGAGGAACTACTTTAAGAGAATTAAGTGCTCCAACCAAAAGATGGAGTGGCTGAAAGGATAAGAAAACAAGACCCCTACATCTGAAAAGGAAGATGATGGAAAAAGATATTGCTTTGATAGACCTAGAAGATATTTAAGTCAGACAGAAAAAAATAAACAATATATGATTTCACTTATATGCGGAATCTAAGGAATAAAAAGAACAGACCAATCAAAATCAGACTCACAAATACAGTGGACAGTTTGGTGACGGACAGAGGGGAGAGGGGTTTGGGGAGCTGGGAGAATGGGGTGAAGGGTTAAAGACGTACAAATTAGTAACTGATGGATAGTCACAGGGATGAGGAGCTCGGCATAGGGAACGCAGTTAGCATGAATACATTGGCTAGGTGGAGGGTCAGGAGAGGGAAGGAGCAATTGCAGGGATCATTTTACTAACTATATAGATGTTTAACCAATGTACTGTATACTTGAAACTAATTAAATTTTTTTTAAAAAAATTGTGTTTTCCTCCCCAGGAAAGGGATAAATTATGAATTTTTATTGTCTTGGAAGAAAAGTAGTCATGGTATACCGGCAAATACACTGATAACAAGCTGCTTCTTCTCCTCTTACATTTTGACCAACCACCACTGGACCTTAAGGTCCATATTAAAACAAATGAAAATAACCCATTCCCCCTTGGCCTGAGCATAAGCACAGTGGCTATTTGCAAATCTACATAAAGGCCTTAATTAGTATTAGTTCGCACTTGGTTTTAAAACAAAATAGTATCTCTTAGCAACAGAGAACTTCAAACAGTGAGGCCGAATTCCAGTGCAGACACCACTGGAAGCAAATGAGGAAGCAACTTGAGGGGAGAAATGAGAGACTTTGGGACGGAGTCCAGAAACTGTGGGACTTGGTAATCAGAAGAGAGAGGAGCCACCTGAATTATTTTCCCTAAGCAGCCGAAGTGGCTGATTAGCACGTTAATCTAAAGTGACCGAAGATCCCTATCAAACTATTGATCAAAGTGCATTCATGTAGAAAATTGCCAAAGCAGGATCGGCAGGATTTCACACTCTGCCCTGAGATTTAATTAGGTGGGAAAATGAACAGGGTACTCATCACATGTTTACTCCTTTGAAGGGAAGAAAAATAAAAAGTAGAAAAGAGAGAACCCAGAAGAACAAGACACTGTTTTGACTTTGTTTTCTGATCCTTTTATCTTACTGCAGTTAGAAAGTTAGGCCTCTCTGAGTAAAAGCAAATATAAAACGTACCTTTATGTGGAGGACATATAGGCAAGGAATGATTTAAATTCTTCAGTTCCGCTTGGTGTTTGGACATATTGTCACTCTCATTAAATGAAAATGTGAAGGATAAACGCTCAGCAAAGATCAAAAAAGGGACGGTGTTTTACAGTGGGGATAGAGAAGAAAGAAAGCTCTTTAACAGCTAGTCAAAGCCTAACCTCACAGTTGCTTTATCACCAGGACAGGTCTCCTCCCCTCAAAAGCTTTCACGTGCTCAGAAGAAAACCATTACCTACAGAGCCACTTTAAGGACAACAAAAGAAATTCTTCCTCCTTATTTTATAGTTACAGGTCATTTTAAGCACCAAATGATATTTCTCAGTTTAATCACTGAATTTGGTTTCAACCGACTTTTAGCCACTTTCTTAAAGTCAAGCATGTAAAAAATTTTCACAATTCAGAATATTCAAAAGAATGTGTTACAAACTCCAAATGTAATTTCAGGAAAAGAGGGCTGAAAAGATTTGAACAATAGCAGCATCTTTTTCATGAGTCTATTGTCCTCCTTTGTTGGAAGAAGAGAGATTTGTGTGTACACATTCAAGCCTGCTCTTTTAAAAATATCTATTTCTATTTGTAAAAGTCTCATCTAATGCAAGGCATTAAGGTCATTTTTCATTGAACTAGGTAGAAAGGAAAAAAGGCAAAAATGTAAAATAGAAATCACAGGAAATGGAGTTTAGATTTTCCTTTATCGGATCTTTTCTGCAGACAGTTTCCTTCAGGATCTAGAGAGCTATACCTGGCTTCCTTGACAACTCAAACCAGCTCTGGCTCCAGCCAGAGGTGGTGCATCCCCATGAGGCCTCAAATGAAAGGTGAGGGATTGAAGTAGCTCACCTGTGCTTCTGTTTAGTTCTGCTTCAGGGAAGCACAATTTTCTTACACAAGGAAGAGAGGGGAATACACAGAATTTTATACTCCAGAGTCTTTTTAGTGGGAGAATATTTCTGAACTCAAAGCAAAAGGGAATCAGGCAAGTTTATAAGAAGCTCTCACTATCTAGAGTTCTGTTTTGCTCATTAGTCGATGGTTAAATACTGAAATTATCTCCCTGACTACATAAGCAATTCCTGGGGAACTTAAGGACTCAGGGATGTCCCTGGGGAGGGCAGTGGGTGACAGTACTGGCCTGAGGACCTGTAAGAGTGCATTTTCCTCAAAGAAAGCAATTTGGGTTTTCCTAAGGTCACTGGTGGTGGGGCAGAGAGGAAGCTGGGTCCTGAAACAAAGGCATTTGCAGTCCTCAAGGAAGCCTATTGGGCACGACCTCTGTTGAGAATATAAGGGAAGGGGCAGCAGCTATGCAGATGGGCGTAAGCCCTGGCAGATCTTGGATATTTGCCCAATCGAATAAGAAAGACCTGTGGGAATTCCCTGCTTTGCTGAGCTCTTTTCTCCTAGAGCAGGGTACTCACTGTAGTGATTAGAGTCCTGAGCCCTGGCATGACCTGTTCTGAGTTTTGGTTTTGAGTTTTGGCTCTTACACTATGTGACTGTGGGCAAGTTACTTAATATCTATAAAACTTGCTTTCTTCATCTCCAAAATGATGCACTGGTACCTCCTTCATAGGTGTATAGGGCACTTTATGTGGAAAGGTGTTCAAGTGCTTAAGGAATGATAGCTGTGGTCATTATTAAGATGATTAGAAATGTGTCACATTTCTGGTTCCATCGAAGATGCAGAGCAATGTGTTTACAGCAGGACAGGGCAAGCAGGAGGAAGTGAGGCCAGGACCTAGCACTAGCTCTGCCCAATAGATAAGATCAGGGGCTGCTCCTAGTGGGGATTGGGTTGGGTGGACAAAACACTGCCCAGAATGTGACAGGCCTCCATTCTTGATGATGTTTATTTAGCCTCGTAGACAAGATGGAGGATTGGCTTGCCTGCCCCTGGGCAAAGTGTGGCAACCAGGGAGGGATTCAGAGATCTGAGCCAGCAAACATTCAGCTACCAGAAAGTCTGACCACAAGCAGCAAACTCAAGTTCTATGTCTATCTGACTCTACTATAGAATTATTTAGCAGAGCTAATGGAATGGAATGTCCACTGGGCATTCCAAACTCTTTTATCTATTTGATTGCTATTGGAATCTGCTCCTAGTTTGTGGTGATGAACAGTCAGATAAGCTCAATATAGATATTCTGAGTGCTTGGGGTCAAGATGACCACTTCTGATAGCACCTAAATAGTAATGGATATTGTATAATTGTTTATACTTCCAAGTCCCCTTTGTTCACATTATTTCATTTGTTCCTCACAGCAGCCCTACGTGATAGGCAGGTAATGCAGGTGTTATAATTATTTCCATTTTACAAATGAGGAAAATAAGGCTTTCAGAAGTGATGTGATTTGTTCAAGCTGTGGATGAAAAAAAAAAAAAAGGGAAGGTTCTATAAAAAGTAACCTCACAGGGAGATATGACCATAAATTCCTAACTGGGCAGGTCATGGTGAGTAGTCACGCCCCAGGCCTATTACTTCTTTAATGAAAAGTTTCAAACCAGCCCTATCTATTGTTCTTATGCATCTAGGTTAACATGCCATTGAAATACCAGAAGTAATACCCCTCAAAGCGGGTATTAAACCTCAAGATAGCACATAATCTGGCTAACTATCCTGTAATCCAATTCCCTCCTTGCTTTCTCCCACCTCCATGTCATCTTCCTTACCTTCCCCCCTTAATTTCAAATATATAAAAGAAGCTACAAAACTATTATTCTCTGGAGTATTTGAGATCTTGCTCCCCAGCATATGTTGTCAGTTTGACTTAACTAAACTCATCATTCCTGATGTTACTAAAGCTTACTTAACCAGAAAATTGTGAGATCTAGATCTAATTCTCAACGTGTTTGAACATTCCTGATGTTGCTAAAGCTTACTTAACCAGAAAATTGTGAGATCTAGATGAGAAGTCAGGAAGTCTGACTTTACAATTTCTGCCTTCTCCACTAGATCCTGCCAAGTGCTTCTTTGGGCTTGAAACTTTCAACCTCATGGACTTTGGCTTTGAGGTCTAGAAGCAAACCCTGAAATAAGGTTTCATGTATAAGGAGCCAGGTGAGGTGGTGGGGCTTTCATTGTCCAAGGTTAAGGGGCAACTAAATTCCCAAGAACTTCCTCATGACTTGGCAAATCAGCTCCAGTAATCCAAGAGCAATGCTTTGAACAAAAGTCCAACTTGGAGCTGACAGAAGTAAAAGCCCCTTAAAGCTGGCTTCCTTTCCTCAGTCCCCAGACCTCCAAACAGAAATAGTTCAAAGGGCCCTGAGAGATCTGGGAAAAGTGCTGACATCATCTCCCATGGTTGCTTTAGCCAGGAGGGCTTCAGAAGACCCTGGATCCCAATGGTCTAATGGTGAGCTTTGTTGATGGCACTCCCATAGTTGCTTTAGATGAAAGAGGAATTTTAGGTAACTTGGAGTCATTGGTGTTTTGCAGATAGTAATTACCTCTAATTCATTTGCTGAGTTTTCCTGAAAAGTGAGGATTCCTTCTTGACATAGTTTGTAACTAATGCCTGGTCTATTTTCTCTTTCAGATTAAGGGTCCTGAATGACATCTATATTTTTAAAAATCTAGAATTTGCACGTCATTTCTAACAAGAACAATGTAAGTGACATCCTTGTTTCTTCTTCTGGTAACTATGCCTGGGAAATTCTGCTACTCCACTTTCAGTCATCATGGTTCAGACTAGGCTAAGGCCAGTTCCATGCCATGTGGACCAAGCCTGGCCAATCAGAGCATCATGGCCCAGGAACCACAGGATAAGCTGAAAACAGCACATGACCCTGCCAGCCAGCAACAATAAGAGGCAATGAGATTGGCTGTGATATTTTGGGAACTTTTAGAGAAGAGGTATTCTCTTTCTGCTGGAGCTGCCAGGGTTGAGCAAGGAAAAAACAAAGCCTGAGAATGAAGGTAACATATAAGGAAGCAAACTCAAGAAGTGGATACACACCAAGAGTCAGCCATGACTAAAGCCATGCAACCATTGGTGTTTTGGGTTACATAAGTTAATAAAGTCCTTTTTTTTTTTTTTTTTGCATAAGTCAATTTGCCTTGGGTTTTCTATAAGTTTTCATATAAAAAATATTAATATGTTGCTAATTTCCTATAGATTTCTTGCTATGTCAAATAAGTCAATTTTCAGTACTGACATGTATTCACTTTAGCTTTAGACTAACAAGCATTACTGTGCCATCTCCCCTTTGTCACTTGTGTCCACAAAGAACATGAGCATTATTTTATTTTCAAAAGAATGTAAGCTGTTCCATGACAGCTCAGTTGATCCAGCCTAGGTTATTTGTTCAAAAAGGACAATTTTTGTGGGTTGATGTTACAAAAGGTATCATTTTCAAAAACTGAGATATGACTTACCATATAACCTACAAATCCTATTACTCCGAGATATTTACCCAAGAAAAATGAAAACATGTGTCTACACAAAGAACTGTATATGAATGAAGGCTCACAGCAGCTTTATTCAAAGTAGTCCCAAATTGCAAGGAGCCCAAATGCCCATTAACAGGAGAATGAATAACAAGTTTTGGCATATTCATACAATGGAACACTACTCAGCAATAAATAAAAAGGAATAAAATACCAATAGTACATGCAAGAACATGGGTGAATCTCACAAGCATTATGCTGAGTAAAAGAAGCCAGACACAAGAGAGTATGTGCTGCATAGTTCCATTTATTCTTAGTTCTAGAAAAGGAAAAACTAATCTATAGTGAAAAAAAGCAGGGCAGTAGTTGGCCTAGGGTGGTGTGTGGGGTAGACTGGCTCTGCAAAGAGATGAAACAGAACTCTTTAGGGTGAGTGAAATGTTATATATCTTGATTGGGGTGATAGTTTCACAGGCGTACACATCAAACTGTACATTGAAATTTGTGCACGTAAAATTTACCTCAATGAATTTTTTTTTTTAAAGTGGGGTATTTCCCTAAGATTTGCTCAACTTCCTTTCAAAACTCATATTTATATTGAAAATAGTCTTTTGAAAAATGCGGTTTTTTTCCTTTCTATGTACGGGGAAAAATACTTCTTCCCTACTATGAGTCTTCCCTGTGAGTTCCTTTTACCACTCACATAAAGCACTTCTGGTCACCAAATATATGGGGTTTTTTTCTCACGTCAATCAATTCCCTGATATCAGCTGGATATCCTACACTTTAACTCAATTCTGACACTGCTAGCAGATAGTGTCAGATCCCACAGGGTGCCCCCCGACACTTGCATACACTTTAGATGCCAGTTGTAAACTTGGGTTATCACCTGTGCTCTGACCATCCAGCTATAAATGGGAGATTCCAAGGACCTCCCTCCTTGGGTTCAATTAATTTGCTAGAGAGGATCACAAAAATCAGGGAAAAGCCTACTTACATTTACCAGTTTATAAAAGGAGATGATAAAAGATACAGACAAACAGCCAGATGAAGAGATACATAGGGTGAGGTCTGAGAGGGTCCTGAGCACAGAAACTTCTGTCCCCGTGGAGTTGGGGTGTCTCATCCTCCCACTGTAGATGTGTTCACCAACCTGGAAGCTCTCCAAATCTCTTACTATGGGAATTTTATGGAGGCTTCCTCTTGGAGGCAAGATCAATTATTAACTTCATTTCTAGCCTCTCTCCGATCTCTGGAAGCTTCTAATCACGGCTTGGTCTTTCTGGTTAGCAGCCAACACCCTTTCAAGAGCCATCCAGGAGCCCACCAGAGATGTCTTATTAAAACAAAAGATGCTCCTAGTGCTCTTATCATTTAGGAAATTAGAAGGGTTTTAGGAGCTCTGTCCCGGAAACTAGGGGCAAAGATCAATATATTTATTTCTTATTTCAAAAATAGTATCATCAAATTTTATTCTATAAATCCTATAATTAAATCATATTATTGAAACGCCATTTGGTCCATAAACTTTTCCAAACATACAATTCTCTTTACATCTTTGCATCCTCATTTTAAAAAAACTGTTCCTTCAACTTAGAATATACTGTCCCTAGCAGAATCCCATATATCACCCTATTTGTCATTAGTTCATTAATTTATTAATTCATTCCACAAACATTTATTGAGGGTCAGGCCTGGTGATAGGCAGTGGGGCTACTAAGACATATAAATTAGGGGTTTGTCCTTTGGGGACATACACTAGAAAATGGAGTTTCAATTGAAAGTCCTTAGATTTATATACCCAGCATTTTCTGGCTGATAAAAAGACCGTCAAAGCCCGTTAACCTCAAGGCTACAGCCCGCTCTATTACATTACCTCAAAGCATGTTGTTATTCCACACACATGTATTTTTCAGCCTCCCTAAAGGTTTTATGTTAACTTTTAAAAAATAGAATCTTTGAGGAGTTTAACAAGGTAGGAGGAAAAAAGCTCTGAGAAATTAAAGAAAAACTTGGTGTAAGTACATTTCTAGGTCGATGATGAAAACGATGAAATATAGAAATATAAACTCAAATGAAACAGGAGAATTTAAACAAAGCTACAGTTGTCATGTCTCTCAGATGGGGCTTGAAGTTTGCCCCACCTTGCTGGCCTTTTACACCAGAGCCTGGACCATAGCTAACAAGCCCACTGGTATTGGTATGTTTTAACATTTTGGAGTACTTTTAAAAATCAGTTACTATAATAACTATTTACTAAAATTCATTTTTCAATTATTTATATTTTTTCTGCTCCCCCATCAACTTTGTGTTCTAAAGCATTAAATCTTTACTCGATTAAAAATGTCATCACAGAGATAGAATCTATACAGAAGGAAATTACTGATTTAGAGCTTAAAATTAAATATTAATGTTTGAAAAAAGTGTTAAATCACCTTTTTTAAAAGATAAAATTTTGATTTTGGAATAGTTTTACATTTATAGAAAAATTTTAAATATAGTACAAAGTTTCCATATACCCCATCCCTATTTTCCCATATTATTAACACCTTACATTAGTCTGGTACATTTGTCACAACTAATGAACAAATAATGATACATTTTTATTATTTGAAGTTCATAGTTATCTCAGATTTTCTTAGTGTTCATCTAATGTCCTTTTTCTCTTCTGGGAACTCATCCAGAATGTCATGTTACATTTCATCATCATATCTCCTTAGGCTCCTCTTGCCTGTGACAGTTTCTTAGATTTTTCTTGTTTTTGATCACCGAAATAGTTTTTAGTGCTAGTCAGGCATTGTGCAGAATGTCCCTTAATTGGATTTGTCTAATGGTTTGATTGGGATTATGGGTTTCGGAGAGGCAGATCACAAGGGTAAAGGGTAATTCTCATCGTATCATATCAAGGCTACATACTATCAACCTAATTTACACTGTTGATATTGACCTTGATCACCTGGCTGCAGTAGTGATTATCAAGTTTCTGCACTGTATCCTTTTTCTCTTTTTTCCTCCCTTTCTATACTATCCTCTTGGGAAGAAAAAACTATGTGAAATTCACACTTGAAGAGTGGAGAGTTCTGCTCAATTCCTTGAGTGTTATGTATCTAAATATATTATTTGCAATTCTTCCGCATGGGAGATTTGTCTCTTCTGTCTTCTTTATTTACCTATTTATCCAATCATTCGTTTATATCAGTATAGACTCATGGATTTTATACTTTGGGTTATTACTCAATAATACTCTATTTTCTTGATGAAATTGGGAGCTCTTTCAGTTGGCTCCTGTGCCCCTTTGACATACGAGGTGGGGAATGTTCAGCATTTTCTTGCTTTCTGACACTACAAAATGCCCCAGGCTCATCTTGTATATTTTCTGCCCAAGTCCTAGAATCAATTATTTCTCCTAAGAGCTTTGGTTCCTTTCATTAGAGAATGGTATTAGAAATTGTGCTAGGTGTACTTGTTGCTATTAGAGTGTTAAATAACCTTCTGAAATAGCAAAAGTGTTTTACTCAATCAAAGTTCAAAAACTCCATTTCATTTTTTAAAATACTGATAACTTAGAAAACAATGTTTCAGTGACTTTATCTATCTATCTATCATCTATCTATCTATCTATCTATCTATCTATATATACTTTTTGCATATAAACTTTTATTCAAAGCCCTATGAGGTGACCCATTATTTATGCTGAAGATAATATGCATATACATATAGCTAAGTTTTTAAATATGAAAAGTCTTTTATGACTAATAGTCATAAATTCAAACCAACTGTATTAGAGACAAAAAGTTGATCAAATTTTTTTGGTCAAAACATCTTGCTTTAGACAGTATATTCTGGGACCATGATCTACCACATCTAGGGGTATTTCTTACACTCATCTTCTTCTAGCTTCTAGTCATAAAAAAAATCAGTTTAATCACTTTAGGTTTGTTTAAAACACCCAGACTTTGCAGTTGTGGGTTTTCTTCATCTCTATTAGAATCAGTAAGAAAAGAGTTAGGGGAAAGGGTTGTACAAAGAGCATAGTTTGTCTCTCTTAGGAAATGAAAGTTCTTTCCCCTAAACCTTTGCTACTTAATGAAGTTCCCATGAACCCTCCCAACAATTATCTTCAGAAGGTTGCTCACCCATTGTGGCAAGCCCCAATGTCCATACTTGAAACCTGAGGTTTCATTTGCAAATTTGGGGATAATTCCCATTACAAATTTGGGGATGTGCTAATTCCATGCTGGAATGAAACTTATAATATTCACCTATAAGTCCTGGTATTCTGTCCTTTTTCGTGTGCATGTGTGCATGTGTGAGTGTGTGTGTGTGTGTGTGTGTGTGTGTGAGAGAGAGAGAGAGAGAGAGAGAAACATTCTTAAGCATAATAAGGCACATGTGACATCTGATTTTTAGCAAATAAAAGCCAACATTGAATTCTAGATCAATTTGTTTTGCTAATTGTTTTTTTTTAACTCAACAAAACAATTAGAAATTAAATTTTGACCAAGCTTTTAAGAGTAACTGGGCCCTATCAATCACATTTACAATTGAACAGCTATTTGCACAGAAGTCTTATCTTCACTTTATTATTTATTTCCACTTGGCCTTTTGATCAGGAAGATGTATTTGACTTGTACATGATGTACAACTAGTTTTTCTCAAGATATTACATGTAGTTTTCCTTAAGATAGATTATGTGACATTTTTATTACTTTTGCCACCAAACAAAAGTAGATTTTTCATTTACGTTTATGATAGGTTTTGTAAATGTCAAATTCCTTGTTAGAAAGTCAGAGTTGACATTCTAAAAGTCAAAGGCTGATATAAATAATGTTCATGTATACGCAATTAGAGTTTGAAGTAATTTTATATCACTTTCTCCCATCCTCCAAAAATTATAACCTACTTTTCAAACAATTATTTAAAAGAAAGAAATCAAACTGCAATAATAAAGAAGACACACAATATACCAAAATGTGATATCTTCTATATTTCAAATACAAATAAAAAACATGAGCATATAGGAAAAACCAATGTGAAATCAATTTGTCATGATTAATTTTGTAATTTTAAGTTAATTAACCCTGACACCAATTCTTTGGAACTTTAATAGAATTGAAAAAGATTTAAAATTATTTTTTTAGCAACTTCAGAAGCTAAATTTTTTTTTCTCCTGTTGTCTCCAAGGAAATAAAATTATTCAAGTTTATTGATGATTAGGTTTTATCTTTCTTTATCTTCTCAATTTTTAGGAAATTGCAAACTGGTAGATTATTTAACACGCTATTAAAGGAAGAGAGAATGGCTCAGCTTCTTTATGGACATCAGTGAGTTCAGGATATCATCATAAATTTAGGATCACAAACTCAGATGCTTTCTAGGGCTAGACAAATGATGTGCATGAGGGCTGTGTGTGGGTAAGGAGAGGGCAGCTGGAGAACACCTGCCCTTCCACTGCATTCCAGGGAAGCATGGCCCTGCAAAAACTGGGCCTCGAAGCTTCTGCTATGTGTGTTTGTGTGTGTTTAATGTTCAATCTCACGATTTTCAAATGTTAGCAATTATTTTTCTGGAAACATTGTGTGTGGTCTTGTGAGCTGCATTTGGCCTACAAGCCAACCGTCTGCAAGCCAATAACTGCCCACAACAACTTCATATGGGGAGCTAATCCATTAACCACACTTATTTGTAAGAAGAAATATAGTTGTCACGTTCATTTAAATGCTCATTTTGGGCTGATTTGAGAGCTTAAATAAATATGAAAAGGTTGCTTGGTGACTTAAGAACTAAAGTAAATAGAGTTATATGATCTCGATAGATAATGTCATCAAGTGATAATAACTTGATAAACTCATTTATTCAACAAATACGTGTTGAGCGTCTTAACGTGTATCAGGCATTGTTTTAGGCACCAGAAATATGACTGAGTACCTATCTAGAGGTGGGAGGTAGTCAATAAACAAGTAAACAAGAAAACTAGCACTTAGTGATAAGTACTGTCCAGTGATGTAGAATAGGGTAATGTGATAGCAGGTGCCTGATTGGCTGCCCTATACTAGCCAGTGAACTTAAATACTCACCCTGGAGGCTATCAGAGTGTCAAATTCTTCCTTTTTATTCCTTTTTATCTAGGTTCTTCTATGAAGTTACTTGTGGTATGTTAATGAATTGAAGCCCTCTTTATTTTAAATTAGTTACTTTTTAATATTCTTGACTAGATTTGGGGGTCAAGTTGATCCAAGAGAGATTTAGGGAAACTTTATTCTAACCACTGACTTAATTACAATGCCTAGGTCAGTGCCGCAGATGAGTAATTTCAAATATCTTATATTGATTCCTTTTAACTCACATTTAGAGACTACCATTTTCAAGTGTGCCTCCAAATTCTGGGAATGTATCATTTGGAGAATTTCTACCACCTCAGAAATATAAATGCATATTTTATATAATAGTAAGAGTAGTAGTGGTGGTAATAATAAATGGCTAGCACTTTCTCTGTTCCAGCCTTAAAGGTAAGCACTTTGCATTATCTCTCCCAACGAGGAGCGGGGAAGGAAGAAAAAGTCAAGCTAATAATACTGTGAAGTTTGGGGGGGAAAAAAACCCATTACTATGAACACAATGTTCATTATCACCCTTAAAGCTCTTTAAATACAAGCAGGTTTAGACATCAATTTCTCGGGGGTTTGATGTTTTTTTGCAGCACTTTGGGCCCCTTTGGGCCACGGTTGTCTAACCTCCCCCTTCTCAGCCACGCAGAAAAACCCGCGCGACCTCCTCCATTCCAAGGCCCAGCCCTCTGGCAGCCTTCAGAAAGAATTATCTGGGATGTGCCAGTATTTTACGTGCGTAGTAAGCACATGTTGCCCATAACAAAAAAATAACTTCAGGTTAAATATGTAAACAAATTATGGAAATGCAAAAGAATACATTTAGTATATGTAGTTTAAAGTATCCTTTTGAAAAGTAAAAGCATTTCTTTCACATAGTCCCCGCCCCCTCCCCAAATAAGGCTGGAAAAGGATTGCTCTGTCAACACTTCCATAAATAAACTTCTCAGAATATGAAATGTCTCCAACATGTGGGGACGCTGGGGTGAGAGGTGCCGCCCCATTCTTATCTGTGCCTGGGTGCAGAAGGGAATATGCTAATGAAGCAGTTTGCCGCAGGCCTGGTGTTATTTATATACCGCCGGCTGGGCAAGGTTGGCGCTGGAGCACAGGAGAGCAGGGAGAGGTTTGTCTTCATGTGTGCGCATATAGACGTGTGCGCCTGTGCACTCGGCGTTCGAAACGTGAATTCAAGATTTTGGGGTGGAGGTGGGGAATACCATCACCATTCACGTTTATGTATATGTAACTTGTGTTGGCAACATATCCTAGCATCGTACATGTACAGCATTCATTTTGGAGTGAGGAAGAAATGGCGATTTGGGAGTGGGTGCAAAAAGGAGGCTGTGTGACAGACAACCTGAAACTGGCAAATGAGCCTCCTTTACCCTACTCTGTGGACACAAAAATTAACTGTATCTGCACCTCGAAAAAGCGCGAGAGGGTTGCTCCCGAATGTTGGCGACCCTTGGGCTCGTGACAGGGAGTGGAGTGCGGGCACCTCTGAAGCGAGCAGAGGTCACCGAGACAGCGCACACCGCGTGGTTGGGGGCACCCCGCGGAGGAGAGAGCGGAGCAGCGAACCCCACCGCGTTCACACGTCCCCGGCGCATGCCGACTCCTTCGGGACCCCCTAGTCCATCTGCGCCAGCTGCTCGGCGCGCTTAGTTCTCTCCAGCCTGTCCAGGCAAGGAGGGGGGACGTAGAGAGGACCCTCGGTCTGGGCGGGCCCCGAGTGTCCCGTTTCCCCCGCCCCCCTCCGGTGGATCCCGCGGCGGCGGCTGCACGTCCCGGCTGGAGGGGGCGCTCGCGCCCAGGAGCAGGGCGCAGCAGGTGCCGCGGTTACCTCCACCTCCACGGGGGGAGAGGGGGCGGGCCGGGGGCAGGGGAGGAGAAGGAGAGCAGGAGGAGGAGAGAGGGCGACTCGCGGAGCGGGAGAGCGCGGCC